TCATCAGGGAAATGAAATCAAAACCACTATGAGCTACCTCCTCACACCTGTCAAAATGGCTAAAGTAAAAAACACAAGAAACGACAGGTGTTGGCGGGGATGCGGAGAAAGGGGAACCCTCCTACACTGTTGGTGGGAATGCAAGCTGGTGCAACCACTCTGGAAAACAGTATGGAGGTTCCTCAACATGTTAAAAATAGAGCTATCCTATGACCCAGCAATTGCACTACTAGGTATTTACCCAAAAAATATGAAAACATTAATTCAAAGGGATACAGTCACCCTTATGTTTATAGCAGCATTATTTACAATAGCCAAATTATGGAAGCAGCCTAAGTGTCCACAGACTGATGAATGCATATAGAAGATGAGATATATATACACAGTGGACTATTACTCAGCCATAAAAGAGAATGAGATCTTGCCATTTTCAATGACATGGATGGATATAGAAGGTATTAAGCTAAGTGAAATAAGTCAGAGTAAGACAGATACCATATGATTTCACTCGTGAAATTTAATAAAACAAATGAGAAAAGGAAAATAAAAGAGACAAACCAAGAAACAAACTCTTAACTACAGAGAACGCACTGATGTTACCAGAGGGCAGGTGGCTGGGGATGGGGAAACAGGTGATGGGGAGGAAGGAGGGCACTTGTGATGAGTACCGGGTGATTTATGGAAGTAATGAATCACTATATTGTACACCTGAAACTAATATAACACTGTGTATTAACTACCTGGAATTTAAATAAAACCCCAAAAATGCGTTTTTAAATGTTTTGTGCTCTTACTAATGTTAAAATCAGCACGACCTATTAAATAATGAGAGTGCGGTGAAAATCTGTCATGTTGACTATGGATTTATCACAATCTGTTTGTAATGTTTCTCTGTCTTGATCATTGGGCAGTGACGCCCACACTTAGATCTGGTGACATGGCAGTCCCACGCGGGGCCATCTGGTAGTTAGCGCTTACCGGGTCTGTCTTTCCCCATTCTTTTTCTTTGGCTATTTTAAAGTCTGTGTGTTAAGGTGTGTTCTTATTGGCAACATACAAATGAGAAGCACACAATCTGAAGATAATTTTATTTAACCAGAGGGTTTACTTCACAAGTGAGGGACTTGTCGGTAGGCTTGCTGTCCTCCTGGAGAAGCCTTGCCTCTCATGCCCTCCTGCAAGCTCCCGACAGTATTTTAATTCTCCTTGTTGTTGTTGTTTTTTTTTTATCCTCAAAATTCGTCATGATTATCACTGTTTATACAGTAGAGGTTTACTTTAGATTTGTTCACATTTACGTAGATTTGTTGGCTCACTCTTCGTTCGTGCACGTTTTGGTACAGCTTCCTTCAAGTGTGTTCTTCAGATGGGGCAACTGACTTGTTTCGCTTCATCTGAAAACTGCCCTTGATTTCACCTTTGCTCACGAATGATCTTTTATCGTGATGTACAATTCCACACCATTTGTTCAGTAGACCTTCATTATGTGCCTACCCTGGGCCAGCGCTGTTTTTGGGCTGGATGCACGACAGTGAACAAAACTGTAAGATGTCCCCATCTCGTTAAGTTTTATTGGAGGGAGAGAGACAACAAAGAGATAAAAATAAGTAAAATAAAAATCAACCCATATTAAAAGCTATAGAGAAAAGTGAGAAGGTAGACAGTGGAGAATGGGGTGTTGTTATTTGACACCTGGCTGTTATTTCCTGTACTCTACCTATAGGCTGATCTGGGAGGCCCTCCCTGAGGAGGTGATACTTAAGGAGAGGCAGGATGAACTGAGAGGGAGCTACGTGCCTCCCAGGGGAGGAGCATTCTAGAGAGAGCAGAGCAAGTGAAATGTCTGAGGAAAATCATGGAGGCCAGCGTGGCTGGGGAGGGGTTAGAGCCATGCAGAGCAGGTGAGGTCAAAGTGTGAGGAGCCGGAGTGTGTAGGACCTGGACTCTTTATGCCGAGAGCAATCACTGGAGAATTTCAAGCAAAAGGATAACACGCAATTTTTCTCAGCCTGTGGAGGATTCAATGCTGCCCCCTGTCGCATCTGTTGGAAGCTCTGACATCCACCTAATTTCTTCCTTTGAAGGTGAATTGTTTTCTTTCTTGCTGCTTTTAGGAAGTGTTGTGTCTCCAGGTCCGTTACGATAGGGGTGGTTGCAGATGGGACTGCATCTGCCGTGTTGGGGACTGTGTGCCCCTCAGGTTGAATGACTCATGTCTTCGGAAAGGTAGGGCGCCCGGCGCAGCAGAGGCCTGGAAAAATGTGAATTTCAGGGAAACAGTGAAAGATGGTCTAGTACAAGCACGTTCCATACAATACACACGCGGGCATCCTTACGCTGGAAACCATTAGCGGTGCAACGTACCGGGGTGCCCTCGACCTCACCCGGCGCTCCTGTCCGAGTTCAGCGACGTCCTTGGCTGTCGTCCTCACCAGCGTGACTCTCCTGCATTGTCTCTCTCTGTCCCTCCAGTCACGGGTGTGGGGCCCCACCTGCGCCCTACACTCCCCAGCACTCCTCACACTACGTTTTTCTTGTCTTTGTTGAATCCTGGGTAAGTTCTTTACAATTACCACCCGGTTCATCATTTTTCTCCTCAGCTGAATATTACATGCTCCTCAATACACCTTTTACCTTTAATTTTATTTAATTTTATTTTTTTATTTATTTTTTTTACCTTTAATTTTAAAGATTTTATTTTTTACTTCCATTTTGTTTTTTTTTTCAAATTTATCTTTTTTTTTTGCTAATATCACTTCTTTTTTGTTTTAAATTGCTTCCTTCAATTCTTAAAATACACGCATTGGCTGTATGGTGTGTTTCCAGTAATGAAGTACTCCCGGCATTCGTGGTGGGCCTGTGCTGGTACCCCCCCGGGGGTTCGCCCCCTCACCGTTTTCGTGGCTCCATTTGTCAGCTTGCATTGGGCGGCAGGCCCAGGGGCCCCGTCTGGGTCTGTCAACCCAGAAAGCTTTGTGCTTGCTTCTGCCGGGGGCTCCTCTGGGTTGGCTTCTGGGGCTGGGGCATCCCCCGACTCCCCAGATTCCTCCGGGGGCTCAGAACGGGACAGTTTCCCCGGCGCACTCGCCTTGCCGGAGGTGGATGTTTCCTGGCTCATCCTGGTCACGGGCAGCGTGACCTCTGAGCATGTCATCTTTAAGCAGGGATGAGCTCTGATTCCCCTCGGAGCCACGGCGAATGCAGTCTGGACACCATCAGCACCCGGCAGCGAGACCGCTCTGGATCTATCTGCTTCTCGGCGGCCACTGTGAGGTCTGGCCTTTGCCACGAGTGTGGGAGCTCATTGAAGTGGATTTCCAGTGTTATTTTATCGAGGATCATACTTGGCAGTGGGAGTGTTTTCAGAGCGTCTGACCTGCCACGTGCCGAGAGTCAAGGTCCTCATTAAACAGATCGTCATCGACGGCTCGAAGGGCCCCTAAGCAGGCTCTTTCCAGCCGATGCTCAGGTGTATCTGGTTGGACTTTTTACCTTCACAACCTGTCCTCTGGGCTCTGACTTGGCAAGTAAGCGGAGAGGTGGACACGAGAGCAAGTGCTTGCTTCGGCGACCTTAAGCCAGGTTTTGACAATGGAACGTTACACTTGCTAGTTCCCACAGGCCATGTCAGGTGACTTATTAATGTTAGGTCAGGTCATCTGGAAGAGAAAGGTACTTTGTAGACCTGTGTGTTGTTGCTGTCCCCAAACCTTGAAGCCCTCTGAGTCTTGGCTGGTCCATGCGGGTGTCTCCCACGCACCGCTTCACCCTCTCGCCTTAGAAACTCCAAGTCCTGTTATTGTCCTGGGAGGCATGTCCACATTCTCAAACCTGCTACCGATGATGGACATTTTGGGAGCAAAGTCAAAGGCCTCGTGTTCCACTCCTGCCATTTTATAGATGCAACTGTGTGTCACACACACATTCTTGTAAAATTCATACAGATCAGCAGACTTGTGCTCAGAGTATGCACCAGGAGTCAGTGAACTCAGTGGTGCTCACAGGAATTGTTCCGAAGGAGAGCCTCCCAGTTCCTTCTGGGCGTTCCATCAATATACCACATAACAACAAACTTTCACAGTTTTTTGCTAAAAAATATTTCAATGGGTAGAATTTTCCCTCCGTTGTAAGATTTATCTTCACATTTATTTTTCTCATGTATATTTTGTGTTGCCTCTTCCAGCAACAGCTAACAGTTAAAACAAAAAGAAGCACATGAATATTTTTAAAAAGAAAACAGAAACTAATCAATTAAGTTTAACATCTTTTCTTTTGTTCACATTCACATGCAAACAGTGACTTACACCACATGCGTGCAATAAAACCATGCCTTTGATCCTGTAATAACATTGGATAGAGCTGGGTCTCAGCATTGCACAATGAACCCTGTGGTTTTAAAGGTTCTGTCTCGTTCTCTTTTTAAAATTTTTTTATTTTAAGTAGACTCCACACCTGACGTGGGGCTCAAAGTCACAACCCTGAGATCAAGAGTTGCATGCTCTCTATTCATTGAACCAGCCAGGAGCCCCTAAGGGTCTGTCTCTTGCACAAGGTTGAAAGTCAGTGTTGTTTCTGGAGGCTACTGTGGAGGGAGGCCTGGGTCTTCACCACATTACCTGGTCTGACACCCCAAGTCACCGTGAAAAAGTAAAAGTGAAGGTCAAAGGCACATAGAAGGCCAAAGTCCCCTGCTGTGAGATTGACGATGACCTTCCACGTTGAAGGAGCCAGAGAGCATATGGAAGGAAAAGAACATTTTAGTTAAGGGGATAATTTGAGCAAAGTTGGAAGAATATAAATTTTGTGTTCTAATGAGATGGAAGATCAGTCTGCCTAGAGCAAGATATTCAACTATAAATAAAAAATGATAGAGCAGGATACAAAACCAAGTCTTGAATACCAATGCTTTATGGAGTGGGTCACTGTGAAATATGTGTGAGCAGCTGAGAGATGCAGCAGGGAGATTAGGGAGATGCATTTTTAAAACGTGTAATCCACAGAAAAATACCACCCTGATGGTTCAAAGGAAATCGTGTTTCCGGACGGGACAGTGAAACGTCTGAGTGACAGATGTGAAGAGACTGTGTTTCCTGACGGGACAGTCGTCAGGGTGGAAAGGTCAGTATGATGAGAGGTGTGTGCGGGCAACAATTTCTTTAGATTAATTAAACTTTTGTAAAAGAGTAGGTTTCTGTGTAAATGGAATAATAGAAAATAACGTCACTGACCCTGAGGTTCTGTCCATGACCCTGATCCGGTTCCTACATGAATCTAAGTGCTGACTTGCGTTCTCTCCCCTGACCTTGGTCATGCTCCCGTTGCAACCTAAAAACACTTGTGGCCTTCAGCGAGTGTCCCGTCAGCTCCTGTTGGTGGAAGCCCTGGATAGCAGGATATATGGGAACAACAATTTGAGACACGCCGGGAAGGTGCTCCCAGAGCCTGCTACCTCCTGATGCCCTGTGTGTGCAGGGAAGAGAGGTGAGGCCGTCCCCACCCGGCCGGCCGCCCACGGCCCCACAGGTGCTCCTGGCCGTCGTGGTAGACTTCCAGTTGTCCCCACAGCACAGTCCGCAGGAGCTCTGTGCCACTTGAACGATTATACATTGCGTTCCCGTCCCTCCCCTGCAGTCCCTCCCCTCTCCCTCTGGGTAAAGTTCCCAGCCCTGGACCCCATGGGCAGGCCCCCCGCCCCGTCGTTCTCCCACGCTCTGCTCCTCGCCGGACTGCGTTTCTGTCCACACCCTGAACCCACTGTGTGCCTTCCCTGCTCTGGCCTTTGCACGTTCTCTGCCGTCATCCACCGAGGTCTGGAATGAGGATCCAGAGCCGGCGCTCCTGCCATCCCGCCCCCCCCGCCCTGTGTCGCACGCGGGCAGCGCCGGCCACCACGCGGGCTACCTGACCTGCTTGCTCTCCCCTCCCAGGAACGGCGACAGAACCATTGTGTTCAGCAATGGGCAGAAGGAGATCCAAACGGCTGGGTTCGAGAGGAGGGAATACCCCGATGGTACCGTCAAGACTGTGTACTGCACGGGCTACCGGGAAACGCGGTCTGCATCCGGGGCCGTGAAGATCAGGTACCAGCCTGGAAACGTCCTCCCGGACAGACAGAACTGGGCACCCCTCAAAACCCAAGGTTACATGTGACTTCCCAACCCCATTTTTTTTTTTTTTTTTGCTAAAACAGACACAAAAAACCCAATAGTATATTCATGGCCCCAAATGATGGAGAACACCAAAACTTTAGGACACCCCAAGTCGTCCAGAAATTGTGAAGGAAGAGACGCTGCAGACCCCAGGCTTCCTTGGTCAGGACAAGCGGTTAGAGCAACACTAGTTGGAGGACGGGGGGCTCAGCAAAGGATGAACTATGGACGCTTTGCTCATCACAAGAACCAGCTCTACCCTGTGACAGGCCCGGGGGAGGCTCAGCAGGGCCATCCCGTTGGGCCGCCCGGGTTAACAGACACCGACTTCCCTTCCTCTGCATGAAGCTTGCCTTGTGCCTGCCCCCGCCTGACCGATTGCCCTCCATGACCTCTAACCCCCATGACCTTGCCGGGTCAGATAGGAAGAGAGCTCTAGTCTCTCCAAGTGACCCATGGGGCGCCTGGCCAGGGTCAGCATGATGTGGATCTGTCTCGGGGCCGTGGTCCCCTCCTGAGACTCAGGATCTTCTCATCTCAAGGTCAAAACAATGACCAATTATCTGCTTATTTTGTTGTTTTGTAGGCCTCCCAGAGAATAAGCAGCACGTTGGAAGTTAGTGGATTTTTATGCTCACGTGGAGAATCCCCCGAACCCAGGGAAGGAATACCTTCTTGAACAATCTTATCGCAAGATGTGGGTTTATGTATGTGTTTTTGATATGTACTCGTGTTTTTATTTGCTGGACATGAAAGATCTTAGTTTAGTAGCCGTAATTATTTGTCTACTGTGGCCACGTTACGGAGGTCGTCAGTATGTCGGTAATGCTGTTTAAAGGGACCCAGGGACAGCGTGCTCTCAGCTCTGAAGGAAAACAGAGGCACTCCCCGGGCAGCTGACCTGGACGGAGACTTTTCCTTTCCGATGACTATGGCCAGGTCACTTTTCAGATTAACAGGTAAAACTAATCTGTTACGGAAAAGCTGCTTTTGGTTTGGCTAAAAAAAAAAAAAAAAAAAAAAAAACTTGCCAATTTTTTTATGTTGAATCGGCTTATCCTGCGAATTTTCACTAAAGCAAACAGGATGCTGGGGTACGGATAAAAGGAATGGAGCTTCTGTGCATGGACAGCGAGCAGAAACTAATGTATAATTTTGTCAGTAAACGGTGTTCAGGTGCCAGACGACGGCCTGGCTGGCGGTTTCACGACATGTCACCTGCCGAGCTCCTGAGTGGTCTGGTGTATGCAGTCAGGAATCAGAGCAGGATGCATTCAGGGGGCCGTGGGGCGCAGTGGCAATCAGGACATGCTTAGGACAGCACATCCCATGCTGCACCTGCGAGCTGCTGGATCGTATGCCAGTCCAGTTCCTCGCGCCTCCTCAAGGCTCCACGCTGGATGTGCAGTCTGACGACAGGCAGGACATTTGCAAGCAGCATATACACTTAGTTGTTCAAAATGGCAGCAGGAAGAACCCCCAGAACAACCATCGTGAGCGTCTAGGGCTGGGAAGGGGGGCGGCTTGGCCCAGGTTCTGAGGGGAAGGGCCTGATGAGGACCCAAAGGCCTCCAGGGGGAAAGGGGGATCCCTACATCATTCTGCTGTGCGAATGACATTCGGGCACCTTTTTTCCCAGGAATGCTGTGGGGGTGGGTGACACAAGACCAGTGACGGATTCCTCTCCTTTGTGGCCTGGTGTCGCCTCCCATGCAGGATCCCCGGGTGCCTCCAAGTGCTCCAGAGGAGAAGGGTCTGGGTTCAGAGCATGGCACCCCAGCTTCAGCACACTCCAGCCCCACTGGTCCCACCTGGCTCTGCCCTCCCACCTGCCAGCGCCCTTTCCCAGCACCCTTCACCGGGACAGGCCCCTTCCCCAGGACCAGCCCCGTCTCATCCAAGGCACCTCTCTTGTTCTTCCGAGGCCTGCACGGCCACCTCTGCTCTAGAAAGACTTCCATGATCCCCACTCCCAGCAGTGGGGCAGGTCCCCCAGTCCTCTGGCCCCCTCACCCCCTAGGATCATCCCCAAATGCGTTCCTACCACCCACTTCCCTGTGTCCCTCCCAGGGGCCTGGAGCAAATTGGGGTGGATACCAGGCCTCCTATGTCTTTGACCCCCCCCAACAGTGACAATAGTACCTGGAGGTTTTGGAAATTAATTCTGGCATAAATGAGCGGGTCCATAACATGACAGGTCATTATAACTCTGATTATTTTGTTGACTCTGAAAATCAGGGGCACTTTGAACGGGGAAGGCTAGTCACAAAAATTAGCACTGTTTAATGCTCAGTTTATTCAATGTAACTTAACTTTGAAACTACTTTTTCTTGAGCATATGAAGATGGATTCTAATTAGATTAGACCTCCTTAAATAACTAAACATTCATTTATAGATTTAGTGCTGCTGATTCTTTAGAGCAAACACCCCATGCAAAAGACAAAACCCAATGATTAATGACCCTACATTTTACACACTCACACCTTAGGCCTATCCTACAGCCTGGATTAATTTTTTATTAGTCCATAATTAATTTTCATGCCTTCTCAGGATTGTTACTATATTCATTTTGTCTTTAAAAATTTATTTATTTATTTGAGAGAGAGCACGTGCACAAGGAGGGGGAGGGGCAGAGGGAGAGTGAGGAGCAGACTCCCTGCTGAGCAGGGAGCCTGATGCAGGACTCGATTCCAGCACCCCGAGATCATGACCTGAGCCAAAGTCAGATGCTTAATCAGCTGGGCCACCCAGGCGTCCCAAGAGCAGCAGGGTTTTGAAGACAGAATCTGGAGAGCAGTGGTGCAGGGAGCTTAGAATCTGGGTGAAGCGCACCTGCTGCTAGGTACCGTCACCAGAGCCTGAAGTGACATTTCTTCTTTAGGTTGTGGATGTATACGGCTTTTCCCAAATATACTTTGTTGTTCTGCTTTACCTTAAACAGTCCCTTTATCCACTAGAATGTTTCCCAAAATGCAACGGGCCAGGTTTTGTGGGGGAAGGGGATGTGTCTCTCCCTCCGGTCCTGTCTGTGGCCCTGAGCTCCGCGCATGCTGTACAGCAGGGACACACATGTGTACCGTGGGGATGCACACCTGTACCTCGGGGATGCACACCTCTACCTTGTGCATGCACACCTATACCTTGGAGACACACACCTATACCGCAGGGACCCACACCTGTACCTTGGGGATGCACACCTGTACCGCGGGGATGCACACCTGTACCTTGTGCATGCACACCTATACCTTGGAGACACACACCTATACTGCAGGGACCCACACCTGTACCTCGGGGACACACACCTATACCACAGGGATCCACACCTGTATCTCGGGGATGCACACCTGTACCTCGGGGACGCACACCTGTACCTCGGGGATGCACGCCTGTACCTCGGGGACGCACACCTGTACCACGCGGACGCACACCTGTACCTCGGGGATGCATACCTGTACCTCGGGGATGCACACCTGTACCTCGGAGACACACACCTGTACCTTGGGGATGCACACTTGTACCGCAGGACACACACCTGTACTGCAGGGATGCACACCTCTACCACTGCAATGTGCATGGTCTCACAGGTGTGCAGGCTGCCAACCACCCAGGTGTTAATCCTAAACCCGAGAGACAGAAATTCTGAGGGGGGCCAAGCTGACTGCCTCCCATGCTATGTGAGCTGACCCTGTTTCTGTTTCACTTCCACTAAACAACCATATTAGTCCGTGTTTTGTTAGTCTGTGTTTTCTTATTTAGAACTCAACACTCAACCTCCTGCTGCTGCTGAAACAAATCTCTACCAACAACAGCTTCTAGTTCCGGAAGTCAGAATTCTGAGATGGGTTGGCAGGGCTGCATCCCAGCTGGGGGCTCTCGGGGAGAACCCGCTCCCTTCCTTCCGCCAGCTTCGACAGCCTGCCTGTCCTTGGCCCGAGGCACCCCTCCTCCACCTCCAGAGCCAGGGATGCAGATTTGTCACATCTCTCTGACTCTGCTTCCGTTACCAGCCCTTTGCTGTGAGCTGACATCTTCACGGGCCCCAGAATTAGGATGTAGATGTCTTCGGGGGGGCAACGCTGCCGACAGCAACGCTCGATGGGAGAATACAGTTCAACAGTATTCTCTCCGTGTGAAAGGCGTATGATGTCCTCACTGTCTGGATTCCTACACAAGTTTCTGATAAAGTGTGGTGAATCTATGAGGCTAAAAACGTCCTTAGCTCTGTCACTCGCTCGGTGGTCACCTATGTGTAGTGAGAGGCTCCGTGCCTTCCCTGTCCCTTAGCAGCTAGGCTTCTGCTGATGGCACCATGTGCACAGTGTCAGGATTTGCTGCTGGATGCTGTCCTCCCAGCAGCTGGGTTTCCTGCCCAGAGCCCACTACCTCCTAGCGACACCCCAGCACTGCTGAAACAGCCCTCAGCCTTCCACACGCTCACCCGCACCTGGGCTTCACTGACCCTCGGCCACTTGTACCCCTGCATGGACCCATTGCCCCAAACCTGTCTCCTCTTGCCAGCGACTTTCTCCGCGGGATGTGCTCCAAGGATCTTCTTGTTGTTATTTATACAATCTTTGTTTTATTTTATCTTATTGGAATTGTTAGCCAACATATAGTACATCATTTGTTTCAGAGGTAGTGTTCAGTGATTCATCAGTTGCATAGAACACCCAGTGCTCATCACATCCCGTGCCCTCCTTAATGCCCACCCCCCAGTTCCCCCTCCCCCCCCTCCCTCCCCTCCAGCAACCCTCAGTTTGGTTTCTAGAGTTAAGAGTCTCTCGTGGTTTGTCTCCCTCTCTGATTTCTTCCCATTCAGTTTTCCCTCCCTTCCCCTGTGATCCTCTGTGCTGTTTCTTAGGTTCCACGTATGAGTGAAACCACATGATAACTGTCTTTCTCTGCTTGACTTATTTCTCTCCAGGGTTCTCAGGAACAAAAATACTCTCTCTCCTGAGAGACCTTCCTTGACATCACAAAGTACATCAGTAAATCTTGCATATCCCAAACCACACGGTCTGCCAATGTGTGCATGTTTCCAGATCTTGAAAATGAGAAATTAAAAACATAATCTGCAGAACACCAATACAGCAATTTGAAATGTGATTCCAGCATATTTATTTCCTTTATTTTGTTTGGATATATAGATTTTATTTTTTTTTAAAGAAAAACTGACGAGGTGTTTGGTTAAATTAAAGGCAAGATAGATACTGAACCTTCCAGTGGGAATGTCGGGTCCCAGCCACTGGCTGAAGGCGGCGGTCTCGCGTGGCCCGGGAGCCCCAGCCCAGGAGCACTGGGGACCTGGGTCTGCTTCCCAGAGGCCAGTCAGCAGAGACCTATGTGAAAATGCTTGGAAAAACAAAATAAAACAGAAACATCTCTACAAACCTGAAAAAGGTCCCCATCAGCCTTGAAGGTGTCCAGGTTTTGTAGGAAGTACAGACCTGATGATAGAATATTCACTAAAACCAACCCCAAATCAGTTTTTTAATGAAAATAATATTTTAGAACTTAAATTTTTAATGAAAATTTTATTTTAGAACTTAAATTTCTTGTAAATGAATCGTGTCCTTTATTTTGGGAAGCCGCACCGGAGAGGAGGAAGGGGGCACCCCCTCTTTGTGACACCTGTGTTCTTTCCCGCCGCACAAGCTAGCCTGCTGACCTCTTGCTGTCGGCCCTCGGAAAGCTCTGGTGTCTTCGCTTGTTAACAGGCGCAGTCTGCTTGTTTAGGCTTCGGAGCCCTTCCGTGTTTCTGCAAGGTGGCAGCGCCGCAGAGCCAGGGGCCGGGCCGGCCACCAGAGCCGTGCCCAGAGCCAGGGGCCCCACGGCCAGCCCCACTGCCCAGGACCCTCAGCGCCAGATTCCTCCCAGTTTGCCAGCTCAGAAGTGGGAAGCGGGGGTGACTACGAGGGTCTCCGG